ATCCTTCTTTAACAATTTCAAGAAAACAATCTTTATTTTTACAATTTCTCTATTTGATTCAAAGAGTTTATCAACTTCATTTACTTTTGAAAGAAAATCCGCACTACCATTATACCAAACGTCTACATAATCCTACTACCAAACAAAATCTCACATTTCAATATCATTATGTGATATTACATTTACCGAATACCAAACACAATCTCACATTCAGTGTCATTATGTAATATTACATTTACCGATTACTGAACATGGAGAGTCAATTGGATATCTCATATATTTCTATCCATTTCACATATCACAACACATATATCAATACCAACTAATAAGTTGCGAACATTTAAATATCTCGTGGTCTCGCCAAGTCCTACATAGCAACCATCAGCCTGTTTTACCAAGTGCTAACTGGAATGAACGCATTAGCTCTATATAACACATCTGCTTGTTTTACCGGGTGCTAACCGAAAGGAATGCATTACCTCAATATAGCCCATCAGCCTGCTTTATCGGTTGCTAGCCGGAAGGATCGCGTTACCTCTATGCAGCACATTCGTCATCCATCTCATCATGTACACATCATTCTAGGTCATTTTAAACATAACACATAACATGTGTACTCTATTCAACAACAAGCAATACCGTTCTCCACCGATGGCCGATGACAAACTCTTGTAATGTCCCTAAAATTTAATATCCTTTTCATAATTAAAATCTGTAAATATTCTATAGATATCATCAATTCAGTAGATTCTCGTGAAATAACATAATGAAAAGTATTGTCTTTACCCAAAGATAAATCTCTTCCTCATTGAACTATCTCAAAAGTTAATACACTTTTATCAAAATCACCAATAGCATCCTAATATTTTTCGACCTCGAAGGAAGGGAAGACAATTGGGCACCTCAACACATACAACGCATTTTCAAAACCACACACACACCTTTAATTTACTCTACATTTAGAAAACAAATCAGATCTGTACTGAGCTTGATCTAAGGAAGAAAATGTTGAGAATAGCCACCTCTGTAAACTGAAAGTTTACCAACGCCAAAGCCCTACGCCAACTACGTTCAGGTAACGATTAAAGTGTGAACGATTAAAGTCTATAGATACTGTTCTTATTTTGGAAGTATAGTAGATCTAAAATCAAAACATTTTGCAATTATAAGTAATAAGTTTTTCCTTTTTATGAGTTTTTATTATCACTTTTATGTTCAAAATATATCACTAGATGGTAATCAATTACTAATACTAAAAGCAAACTGTCAACAATATCGTAATTTTTTACAAAATATACTAAATATTGGTGCTACTAAAGATATAAAATTTACTAAAAAAAGAATTAATCAAATTTCAGATAAATCGTATATTATCAACAACAACTACATATAATATCCTAAAAAATATATATTTAAATAATTTCTACATCATCACTACATCACCAAATCCATATCATTTTGGCAACGTTAGGCTACACAATGAAAGGTGACATATGAGATTCTGTTCAGACAAGAATGTCAAAAATGTAACTCACCCACCCCAACCCCATCTCTACCGCCTTTCAGTTGCCACTTGCCCATGTTTCTTGCCTCATTGCCTTCTCCAACCAATGTTTGACACGTATTCCCCCAATCAAATGTTTTGGCTTTAAAGGCCAAGATTTATTTTATAAAAAAATAAATAAATATATACTAAGGAAACACTACTAATAATAATAATAAAAAAAGTATAATAATTTAAGAATGATATGAAAATATCATTTTCTTAAGTAAATATATTTTTTATGAGTATTTTATTTGAAAGTAAAAAGTTCATATATTATGGAATATTCTGCATGGAATATTCTGTATCAAATTTCTATTTATATATTATGGCTAAAATAATAATAATAACAAAGGGTAGTAGTTGGAGTTGGAGTTTTGGTCCGCTTGAACTGGTCTATCATCATGAAAATAAAGAAGAAGAAAAAAAAAGTTAGTTGAACTTTCATTGTTATCATGCTTCTAAACTTAAGCTAGCTTTAAATAACTAAATCCAAATAATTGTTCTATTGAACTTTCATTGTGATCATGCTTCCTTTACTTGCAGAAATGGGAAACTTTAATAAAATAAAATAAAAATTTGTGCAATTTGGCACAGTTTTGTTCATACATGCTTCTAAAGCCTCGTTTAGGAACATACTAATTTAGTAACTTTTTGACTATTTGGCTAAAATATGAGCTAAAAAAAACTAGTATGTTTGGATGACTTTTTGACTTTTTGGTATGAGTTGTTGGCTTTTTGGCTAATTTAGTAACTTTTTAACTTTTTGACTAAAAATGAGAGTTCCCAAACGAGGCCTAAACAATTGGACCATAAATTGGGAGCCCATACCTTAATTTAACATAGTAGTAATCCAAACATCATTTCTGTTAAAAAGTTTTTCACATGGAGTTAATTCTAGTCAACCAGTTAAAATCAGTTGAATTGGACTTCTCCCTAGTAAATTGAATTGTTCAATCCAAAAAGATTTTAAAAATAAAATCCTTACATTACCCATTATATTTAAAGTGGCTACTACCCTTTACAACCAAATCAAACAAGTGCTCTTAAAAGAGGTATTAATGTTACATAAATCATGGAGAGACCTAACATGTACCAAGTACAATGCATTTGTTTAAACATGCTAATCATTTATTCTTACATGGTTTAAAGACCTCCTCCTGATAGGACATTAATCAAAAGGAAATAACAATAAAGAAAAAGAGTTATGGAACCAGAGTTGTGAAAATATGAAGGCCAAATTTCCATACATGCATGCATATGTGCATAGAACAAATATATGTTTGTCACTAATATTAAGATGACTATATTTATTTATTATATTTCACTTATTATCTTTTGTCGCAATTACATTATGGGTCTTATCCCTTCATGTTCTTTAGTTTTAGGGTTGTTTTATTGGCTTACATGCTTAGCTCTATTTTCCTTGCATCAATTTTTTTTTTCTTTTTTTTTAAAATTTTATAATACTATTAGTATTAGTTAGTACCCAAAATTTATGAAGACAAAATATTTAATATTTTAAAATAAAAAATAAAAACAAAATAAAAACAACAAAAATTTAGGGTAGAGGATCTCAGAATTTAATCAATCTCAAGCTCCTAGGACTTGGCAAGTCTACACAATTAATTCAGTGATCTTGTGAGAAGAGAAATTTTATTTACACATCATCAAATCTTTCAGTACACACTATTTTCATAATCTTTTTATTATACTTATATCCTTTATCAAATTACCATTTTGGACATATGTCTAAACCCTAACTCTCAATACATATCTTTTAGGGGTGTTTGCGGATCGATTTTGTGCGGTTTGCGGTTCAGTTTTGACCCACTCGCATCTATGCGGTTTGGGAAAAAGTCAACCCGCAACCGCCTGCAGTGCGGTTTGCGGTTTGTGCGGATTGGGTTTGCAAATGTGCGGGCGGTTGCGGGCGGTTTGCGGTTTACACTTTTTTCTTTAAAAATTAAATTTTGAGATTTTTTTCCCATCGAATTTAGGCATCAGATTCATTTTATATATTTGTGATAACAATTTTCTGATGAGTTTACAAATAAAAATTGAATATCAATGCATTAAATGAAAGTACCCAAAACAAAGAGACCCTACACTAGCATTTTTGCCATGAAAAAAAATATATATCAATGCATTAAAGGTTGTACTCAATTAGAATTGTCAGTTCAGTAATCAACAATCAAACTAGAAGTTCCGTAGACCACCAGAAGGAAAATTTTATTAGGAAAAAGTAGATGAATCACCAATGAAAATCATATAATAAACCAAGTTTAGGACTTTATAATTCTACGGCATTAAGAAAGTTGAGAAATACTTAAAAATAAGGATCCTACTGTCATAGAGAATATAATGGTATTCCTGTAAAAGTTACAAAGTTGGTATATAAAAAATAATAATTAAAATGCGGGCGGTTTTTGGGGGTTGCGGGTTTAAACCGTGACCCGCCCGCAACCCGCAAATTTGTCATATTTCAAACTGCATCCGCCCGCATTATGTTTGCGAAACCACCCATTTATATGCGGATTGGGCGGTTTAAGCGATTCGGATAAACTGTTGCCCACCCCTAATATCTTTCGACAATACTACCTACCACCAGCCTTCACCGCCTACTTTCCAACTTTGGCCACCGTCACCGGCATCCACCACCACGACTATCCTTTCTAGCCATTATCGCAGCCATACAACCTTCCTACCTCACTATCCCACTGCCTCTCATCCTGGCTCTCACCACCCTTACAACCACTCACTCGCTAGCGACCCCTTTTCCCACCACAAATCCCTTATATTTCCTCGACCGACGATTCCTCACCACCGCAAATAGCCTCATCTTCCATCACTTCCATCGCGAACAACTTACTCTCCACCCCCACCATCGTGATCCAATCCTCTATCACAATCTAGACTTGCTGTTCTCTACTGTACTGTTCTGGTGGGCGCGCGCGCACGTAAGTGAGAGAGAGAGAGAGAACCCTAGGGACATTGGGAAGACGGTAACGAGAAGATATGTGGTAGAGTAGGCAACGGCTGGAGAGGGAGTGACGGCTAACTGTGATGGTTAGGGTTAGGGTTATGGATAGAGTTTGGGATAGAGGGTTGAAGAGTTGAAAAAGATGAGGATAATTTAGGATTTTAAAAAATTAATGGTGCGAAGTGAGCTGAAATGAAAGAATTAAAAAAGTGTAATGTAAGAAGTTGTGTGAAGTTTAAATAGAATTACCCGCAAAAGAGAGAATTGGGAGATAATTATACAAAAATGCCCCTAAAATTTCAACCAAATCCAATTTATCTACAAATTGAATACAAAAACTAAAACCCAAAATACCATCTAGAAAACTAAAATCCAAAATAAACAAAAATAAAATGAAAATGAAAATATTAAAGCCCTACAACAATCCCACGTGCAATAACTAAGTGTTGTCAATTAATTAACAACCCATCAATGTAAGAAGTTGTGTGATGTTTAAATAGAATTACCCGCGAAAGAGAGAATTGAGAGATAATTATACAAAAATGCCCCTGAAATTTCAACCAAATCCAATTTATCTACAAATTGAATCCAAAAACTAAAAACCAAAATACCATCTAGAAAACTAAAATCCAAAATAAACAAAAATAAAATGAAAATGAAAATATTAAAGCGCTACAACAATCCCACGTGCAATAACCAAGTGTTGTCAATTAATTACCAACCCATCAATTTCTACACCACAAAAAGAGGGGGGACTTTGTAGGCTATTTTGAAAAGATGATTATGATCAGTTGTTTGGTAAAAAATTACTTATAAACTATTTATAAGTAATTTTTTTTGAAAAAAAAAGTGAATTATAATTTGAGAAATAGATTATAATCCACTTTGCAAAAGGGGAGGGTAGATAGGAGATTGTACAGAAATTTTTTTTTTTAAAGTCCCAACAAAGTCAAGTCAATAGGAGGAAGAATAGGCCAACCGGCGATGAACGGAACGGTCCCTCAGAATTCCATTGTACAGTGCCACCCTGTTCGCTGGCATTCCTCCTTGGACTTCTCTCCCTCTCTCTCCTCCTCTGTTCTTTGTTGGTGAATTTGAATTTGAATTTGAATTTGAAGAGAAACCAGCATCATCACTGTTGTGCTGTTGCCTCCTTATAAACTCTTTACTGTTTCCGACTGGGTCCACCACATCTTCTGCAAAGTGCACCCTCTTCTTCTTTTTCTTCTCTCTCTTCTTTCCAACTACACACCCAAAATTAACACACAATTTATATCTATATATACTCTCTGACTAATGTTTGTGTTCCCAGACTTATTCACATGTATATATGCACATACAAAATTAATCTTCTACAACCCCAAAAATAAAAAAATAAAAAAATTTGAGAATGACATATCGAGCCTTAATTTTATCACTCTTTATAAAAATAATATGTGGAAATGATTTAAGTTTTCAATCAAAGTTGGATTTGTTGAACATTACCCAAAATCGTATATGGTATGAATGAAATACTGGAGAGTTAAAGATAACCTGAAGAGATGCAGGGGCGAGGGAGTGGTGGTGGGCAGTGGGTGGTGATAGGGAATTGTGTTGCCGGAAAAGACTTCTGGAGGCGGAGGGCCAGGAGGATTACGGTGCCGGAGACCGCCATGGCGGTGGCGAAGACCACCCCTTGTGAAGTCAAATTTGAAGACATGGAGAGAGAGACAGAGAGAGAGAGAGAGAGAGTAGAGAAACTTGAAATGGAGAATTTCTGTTGGAGTGGAAAATGTACAAGTGATCAATATTTTATTTTAGGCAGTGGCTTGCTCCAGTCCAAGATCGGATTGGATCGTGTTGTTGGGTTTGTGGGGGTTCATTACGGGTTCCGTTTTGATAATTCAAACTGTTCAATATATAGAACTGTTCAATACATAAAATATTTTATTTTATGCCTGTAAAAAATCACGTTGATCGGATATCGATAGCTAGGTGAATAAAACAGTTTTTTATCAACTATTAATTGCTTCGCTGCCCATTTTTTTATACAAAACTGAATTGATTACATAACTATTGATATCCGATCAACGTGATTTTTTACAAGCATATAGTACTCGACGATTTCTACACATTGAACGGTTCGGATTATCAAAATGGGCCCAAAAAATAAGTCCCATAGACCGAACTGGACGGTCCAATCTTGATCTCAACTTGAGATTAGCTGGACCCTTTATTTTATTATTATTACTCCCCTGTCTCGAAGTCCTCTTTTTTTTTAAAAAAATTTAATTTTTTTTTTGGATAGTTTAATTATTACATTTTAAAAATATTAATTTTTTAAAGTTATCATTTGATAATATATATATTTTTTAGAATATTAATTCTCATAATTATATTTTTTTGTATTGTTAATAAATTTAAAGAAATGACAAAATAAGAAATTTATATTTTAGTCATTAATTTTTAAAAATGTATTAATATTTTGGGATAATAAAAAATGGAATAACAAATTATTATTTTGAGATGAAAGGAGTATTAATGAGGCTCAAAATCCCTAATCTATAGATAGTTCATAAATTTTATTTTTAGTATAGAACTTGATCAAAGAAGTGAAGTCTCAAAACAAATCATAATTTTCAATTTAAATTTCATTTAATACAAGTTTTCCTGTAAAATGTTTTAACATTTTAAAAATAATTAGTTATTTGTGAAATGAAGTTACCATTATAAAAAAATGCTAAAAAAATTATTTTTACTAGTGTGAAAATCCATTAACTAAGAGATTAAATTGATGAGATATAGAATTTTTTATTTTTATTTTTATTTTTATTTTTTGAAAACAAAATCAATGAATGTGGCAAATAGGAAGGGTGCTTCTAATCATGCACACTTAATTACTTTTCACACCCATCACTTGTATTAAAAAATTTATAATTTAGGCATAAATATTAGTACATATGAGTGTACAAAACAAATTGAAAAAAGAAAAAGAAAAAAAAAGTGTACAAAATAAATTAAATGCGTGTAATTAAATCAAAATATTTTGAAGGTTCTTAATTTTTATTATGAATTTTAAAGATTTGAGATATAGTTATATATGGTATGAATAATATAGTAATATAGTAAGAAGTAAGCTTTAATTTTTAATTTTTTTTAAAAGAAATAAACATCAGTAGAAGAAAATTAGGTTGGAAAGATATAAAATATTAATTTTACCTTTACTTTTGAAAACTATAAATTATGGAATTATTAATATTTTGAAAACTATTATTTTAACGGGTTAGCCAATACTACCTTTTAAATTTATTTTTTAATTCAATAAATCCACAAATTTATTATGAGGTTCTCGAGCTCCCACAATACTTCTCACGAAAATCTTTATGCTTATATAATATAAAGATGACCTTAGAATATGATTGTACAATGTTTTAGAAATTACAACCGGTAATCTGTCAAATCCCATTAGTCTAAAATAGTCAAAATATTCAAATAAATCAATCAATTTTGAGGACAAGGAGGTTGTCTGTGAGTTAAGAAATTATTAACTTATTACAAACGATTTAATTGAGATCATTTGTCTTATACCGTCAAAATCGACTTGCACACACCCCTAATGGGAACAAAACTCCGAATGAGAACCAACGACACGGTAGAGGGATGTTGGTACAATTAGGCTAATTTTTCATGAAAAAACTTTAAAAAAAAAAATTAGAAAAAGACTACATTCACAATACTTTTAGTTGCATTCACAGTAGTCTTTCATTATTTCACACTAGAACTATGTATGAAGCTATTTAAATTGAGAAAATAATCCCTTTCGTTCTAATTTTTTTTTACAATGTTTTTGTCTCCTTCCATAAATGGGGACCAAACCCAAGAAAAAAACCTTTGAGTTTTGCAACAATGTGGGGACCATGATGGACATTGCTTTGATTTTTTTCGTGGGAGTGCAATTAAAAGACCAGAATCATTAGTCAGTAGTCGATTTGAATGCAATATTAATTATTTTAGTCTTTACACAAAGTTTCAAAGAAAGGCTAATAAAGACTTGGCCCTTTAGAAAGCATTAAAGTAACTTTCGGCCGGAGGTTGTGCCTTTTTCCATTGCCATTGGTTTAAGAATAATGGTATATGTATTAATTAATATAGTAATTAGTGTATCAATTGATAATATGATATAATTTAAGAAATTTTTAGTATTTATAATTTGTATAAGTAAAAGAAGGAACATTTGATAATCTTTACGAGTGGGTCAGTTAAGAACCAAATAAATTACTTTTTAGTGAAAAAAGTGGACCGCCTAAAATGCAGTGATTGTAAGGTGATTCCTAAAAAGAACTTGGCCTGTCAACATAAGATTTTGGTACTAGATTTATGTTTTAAAGAGAAATACCAAGTTAAGAAGGATAGTGGGTGTCGTAGGACGATATGGTGAGACTTAAAAGGGGATAAGTTGGAAATATTTAAGAATAGAATGGATAAAGAAGGTACTTGAGACTTTGAAGATGATACTAATACTATATGGAACTTTATGGCCAATTATGTAAGGAGAATCTTAAGGGAAGTGCTTGGAGAGTCGAAAGAAACGGGACCCAGCTTTAGGGAAACTTGGTGGTGGAGGGAAGAGGTTCAAGCGGTAGTTAAGGCAAAAAAAAAAAGTGCTTTAAAAAGTGACAGAAGGATAAAACTGAGGAAAACCTTAAGGCCATGTTTGTTTGGGTGGACATGAGCTTGGGATTGGACTAATAATCCAATAAAATTATTAATCCGATGTTTGGTTAAACAATTAAAGTACGGACTAATTATTTTAAACTTGACTATTAGTTAAGATAGGATACATAATCTAATGGATTCGTAGTCCTAGAACTATTAATTATGGGAATACTAATCCAGTCCGCCCAAACAAACATGGCCTAAGAGTTATAGATTAGTTAATAATGAGGTCAAGAAAGTAGTAAGAGAGACTAAGGTCAAGTTTGGCATTCCTAAAAAAATCTAAAAAGTCAAAAAGTCAATATCCTATTTGAGTCACATCATCCTATTTAAGTCACATCACCTTTCTATCACATCACTTCAAACCCTACCCATATCCAACCCATATTTTATAAAAAGTCAAAAAGTACACTTATTTAGGACACCCCAAACAACCCCTAAGTTGAAAGTTTATGATAACCTATACACTAGACTAGATAGTACGGAGGGAAAGAAAAGGGTATACAAACTTGCTAAGATACAGGAGAGAAAAACAAGAGATTTTAATCAAGTTAAGTGTATAAAGAGTGAGGATTCTAAGATATCGATGAAGGATGAAGAGATTAAGGAGTGATGGAAGAACTATTTTGAGAAACTATTAAATGAGGAATATGGAGGTACGTCAATAAGGGAAGAAATAGCCAGTAATATGATAAACCAAGACTATAGATTCTATTGCAGGATTAGGGAATTTGAAGTGGAGATTGCACTTAAGAAGATGAAATCAAATAAGGCTTTAGGACCTAATGATATCACTATTAAAGCTTGGAAGCGTTTGGATAAAAATGAGGTTGCTTGGTTTATTAGGTTGTTTAGCAAAATTTTGTTGATTAGGAACATTCCAGATGAGTGAAGAAGATGTCCAGAATTGTAACAACTATAAAGGAATTAAGCTAATGTCTCATATAATGAAAGTGTGTGAGAGGGTGATGGAATGCC